AAAAACTGAGCTATTCATTTGCATCAATTTCATGATACTTAGTGGCAACAGTAAAGAGCTTCCATCATGCATACTGAGGTTTGGAGAAGGTTGCAGCGGAGCCTAATTAAACAGAGTTGGCATTGAACATGTGGGTCCATTATAGGAGGTTGGAGAGCAGAAGACCCGTTTTAGTAGGAATAACCTAAATAGAGAATTTAGCTGCTAGTTGGGAGATAAAGGCATCAAGTTTCTGCATTTCCCATGATAGTGATAAATAAAAGAAGGGGTCAGATTTTAAGGAAAGTGTGCATGTTTTAAGCCATAAATGGCCTTATAAAAGTTATTCAGGTTTGGTATGATCAACAAAGACTGGGTTCTACAATTGTAAACGACCTCGATCAGTTTGCTATGTAGCTTTATGTTCACCCCAAAAAGTGTATCAACGATGTTGCCAACAGATCGCAAGATCTCTCACATCTACGCAAGCTGAGTTCCGACACACTTGGACAAACCGTTGGTGGCACGTGGCCCTCTCGACGGTCAAGTCAAGCAGATGAATGGTTTTTGGGTGTGAGATAGCTTAGAACGTGAGCCTCCAATCAATAAAAAGGGGGTCAGCTTGGAAGTAAATAGCTGGAAATGTATGTAGCAAGAATATAGCTTCGATAGTCTAAACTTGCATTAGCCATGAATGGCATCAAGAGTAAGTTTTTATACTTGAGTAAGATAAACAAGGCATGGTAGGGCACGTGGCCTCATCAGATCGATTGGCCCTTCTTGTTTCACACATCAATCAATCCATCAAGGCATTAAATGCTATGATCCATTTCGTATCCATAAGTCCTAGCTTTTGCAATTGGGATTTGACCATTTAGATGTGAAGAGGCAGCGTTGGAAGTGAATTGTCTTGTCAATCATTTCACCACAAGATCTCGTCGTCGCCTCGTCAGGATCGACTCCTACATGGAGCGTCTGCCCAAATGGGGCCAGTCTGGTTTCGTTCCACAAGGAAGGGGGCCTCCATACATATAACAGGGTTGTCAATGTTGCCATGTAAAATGTGAAGACATCACTGTCTGCCACGTAGTTTGATCAGCGCCATGTGTGGCCTTAACTTATCTCATGAGCAACACTTTACGTTATTGACATCCAAGTACCAAATAAAATAATCGAAGGCCAGGGTAAAATTTACAATGAGTCAAATAGCTATCAGTCTAATGACATGACTAAAAGTCTCATGATAGTTGAGTCAGGGGATAAATGAATGCCCTTGACCACTAATTGAGCCTTGAGCTATCAACATTATGCTTGACACGATATGCTTACTTGCAGTCAACCAAGTTTTTAGACGGTGAGGCAGTACAAGAATGCCATTTTGTGCGTGAGAGTCAAATTTATCGGATATGGCTTGGCGCCAAATACAACTTTGATTTGTTTATTCAGTCCATGTTTGTTTTCACTACTTTCAACGACAAAATGAAATTTGACCATTTATTTCAAAATGGTGGAGCCCACTCACTCACAAAATGGTCAACTATTGCGGCTAGACATTATTCCAACGGTAAAAATTCTCTTTTTTTGTACAAATGTAGTGAAAACAAACAAAGGCTCAATAACTATAAATCATAAATATACAACACCACTAAACTTATATTAGTGATCCGCAACCTAATTTTTATTTTATGGAATATACATACATACATTTTTTAGTTACTTAAATTATTTTTTGTCAATCTTTTAACAACTGCAATTTATATAAAGTTTCTATCCACTCAACGCAATTGGATACACGTGGCCGATGGAACTTATTCAAGAAAAAGAAGACATTGGCCAAAGATAGAAAGACAAACAATTGNAAAAAAAATTAGAATAATGATTTTAGCATATTGTGTGGTTAAAAAGTAAGGAAAAATTTTGGGTTTACGTGAAGAATATTTTATTAAGTGAATGTGTGGTTAAAAATGAATATGTAGAAAAAAGAGTTTTCAAATAATGGTTGCAAACAGATGTTCCATTTTGGATTGCGGGGTTGGCACAAAGATAAGTTGCACCAACACAGGTAAATCAGTTGTGCGGATGACAATTAGATGTGACGTTCAATAAGCAGTGATTTCATCCAAAGAAATTAGAGTATTTTCAAGAAACTCTTTGAATATAAAATGTTCTTTATTTTAAAGAGTTAATGTTTAAAAATAAGTTTCAAAATACTGTATTTTAACTTTTTAAAATAAATGGTGGATTTGACTCTCCAAATTTAAAGAGTCAAATTCACTATATATTGTTAATGCACTATGATTGAATTTAATAAAGAATAATGTTACATGTACATCCTCCCTTACAACGTGGTTGACATTCATTTTATGTAGAAGAAATTTGTGCAATGATGTGATAAATGAATTTAAAATCAAGAGCGTAGATGTGACAAGATGTTGTCACATAGAAGAATGTAAAGAAAAGTATGAGAGATAGCGTACATGTAGCATATGTCACAAATTTTGATACTTTACTTTTTAAACTATTCAAATTACATTTAAATTGATTGGTCATTAACATAAAAATTATATTAAATAAAATATAGGGCAAATCAATAAATGTTTTTTGAGAAAAGCAAAATGAAGAATCAAAATAGAAAGCAATATTGGTCTGTAAAAAAAATTTGACTATCTAAATTTAAAGATACTATCTATAATGCATAAGATACTCTTTATAAATAAAGAGTTTTTGAAGATGCTATTAGACATGATTGATACTCAGATTTTATCGACGACCAATTAATAGAACGCTGTTTTTTAGAGCACTAGACAATTGGATCATGGCCCGGGATACTAAATGGGTGTGCAATAATAGAGGTTCGTCATCCACATTGCATGGAAAGGCATGGAGTACTAGTGAAGATTTACACAAACCATGAGACTAAGTTCCACAGAGATCTACGCAGGAGCCGTTTGCCTGTTGCCTAGATTTCTATTGTCGGCCAATGCAATAACTGAGCTATTCATTTGCATCAATTTCATGATACTTAGTGGCAACAGTAAAGAGCTTCCATCATGCATACTGAGGTTTGGAGAAGGTTGCAGCGGAGTCTAATTAAACAGAGTTGGCATTGAACATATGGGTCCATTATAGGAGGTTGGAGAACAGAAGACCCGTTTTAGTATGAATAACCTAAATAGAGAATTTAGCTGCTAGTTGGGAGATAAAGTCATCAAGTCTCTGCATTTCCCATATCAATAAGATCATCCACGTAAGCCAAGAAATATATAGTGCGACCAAGATAGTGATAAATAAAAGAGGGGGTCAGGTTTTAAGGAAAGTGTGCATGTTTTAAGCCATAAATGGCCTTATAAAAGTTATTCAGGTTTGGTATGATCAACAAAGACTGGGTTCAACAATCGTAAACGACCTCGATCAGTTTGCTATGTAGCTTTATGTTGACCCCAAAAAATGTATCAACGATGTTGTCAACAGATCGCAAGATCTCTCACGTCTACGCAAGCTGAGTTCCGGCACACTTGGACAAACCGTTGGTGGCACGTGGCCCTCTCCGACGGTCAAGTCAAGTAGATGAATGGTTTTTGGGTGTGAGATAGCTTAGAACGTGAGCCTCCAATCAATAAAAAGGGGGTCGATTCAAGAGTAGATAGCTGGAAATGTATGTAGCAAGAATATAGCTTCGATAGTCTAAACTTGCATTAGCCATGAATGGCATCAAGTGTAAGTTTTTATACTTGAGTAAGATAAACAAGGCCAGTCAGATGGTAGGGCACGTGGCCTCATCAGATCGATTGACCCTTCTTGTTTCACACATCAATCAATCCATCAAAGCATTAAATGCTAGGACCCCTTTCGTATCCATAAGTCCTAGCTTTTGCAATTGGGATTTGACCATTTAGATGTGCAGAGGCAGCGTTGGAAGTGAATTGTCTTGTCAATCATTTCACCACAAGATCTATTAGGGATCTCATCATCGCCTCGTCAGGATCGGCTCCTACATGGAGCGTCTACCCAAATGGGGTTAGTCCGGTTTCGTTCCACAGGGAAGGGGGCCTCCATACATATAACAGGATCGTCAATGTTGCCATGTAAAATGTGAAGACATCACTGTCTGCCACGTAGTTTGATCAGCGCCATGTGTGGCCTTTAACTTATCTCACTTTACGTTATTGATATTGAAGTACCAAATAAAATAATCAAAGGCCAAGGCAAAATTTACAATGAGTCAAATAGCTATCAGTCTAATGACATGACTAAAAGTCTCATGATAGTTGAGTCAGGGGATACATGAATGCCCTTGACCACTAACTGAGCCTTGAGCTATCAACATTATGCTTGACACGATATGCTTACTTGCAGTCAACCAAGTTTTTAGACGGTGAGGCAGTACAAGAATGCCATTTTGTGTGTGAGTCTCAAATTTATCGGATATGGCTTGGCGCCAAATACAACTTTGATTTGTTTATTCAGCTCATGTTTGTTTCCACTACTCCCAAAAATAAAATGAAATTTGACCGTTTATTTCAAAATGGTGGAGCCCACTCACTCACAAAATAGTTAACTATTGTGGCTAGGCACTATTCCAACGGTAAAAATTCTTATTTTTTGTGCAAATGTAGTTGAAACAAACAGAGGCTCAATAGCTATAAATCATAAATATACAACACCACTAAACTTATATTAGTCTAATTTTTATTTTATGGAATATACATGCATACATTTTTTAGTTACTTAAATTATTTTTTGTCAATCTTTTAACAACTGCAATTTATATAATGTTAGTTTCTATCCACTCTACGCAATTGGATACACGTGGCCGATGGAACTTATTCAAGAAAAAGAAGACATTGACCAAAGATAGAAAGACAAACAATTGCTTTTCATCAAAGAAATTACAGTGTAGAGATGCCAAAAAATTATTTTTACACAACCCAACCCAAGAAAAAAAGGTCAAAATTTTGACCATTGATTAATTTATCGAATTTCAGCAAGGACTAAGATTATTTGATGACACAGAGAGTTTATTAAGCTGATGAAGACGATGATGAATGGCTGCGACAGAACTGAGTACTGCTACTATCCATTCTATCCAGGATGAAATGCCCAAGCATGTCTTTAGATTTCACCAAATTTTCTTTGCACAAAAATTCATCACTTGTAATTCTATCCACCTTCATATTGAAATCATGCACGAAAATATGTGTTTTAGGACTGGCTCCGGCCTTTTTGCTCCGGGCAAGTACGCCGGCGGTGAAAATGGCAGCCATCCGACCAGGCGCTTCGGGCCAATACCCACGTGGGCCGTCCACCAATATGATATTCCAATCCACCTCATATAACTGGTTCGGAAGATCATTCAATCCCAGCTTGCATTCTGAAAACAGAAGATTTTGCACTGGCCTGCACTCATTCTGCACCTGTTCTTTAACTGATGAAATTAGCTCTTTCACTTCGCTTATTTTGGTTGAGTACTGCACGTCGTAGGCTTCAATTTCTGGATACTTTTCCTCGATGTATGCAGCGTAATACCGATTTTCATCGATGAAAACGGTTCTGCCATTAGGGTTTAGGGCTTTCCAAAGAAGGGTTTCATGGGTCAAACCGAAAACCAGGAAATTACAGGGGTGTGAACACTGCCGGAGAATGTCGGAGATTTGTTTGATATCCGTGTACGACATATGCTCAGTGTTGTTTGAGTTGGAAGCGTAGTGGACTAGAGCTCTTACCACAGCCTTCGAAAGTGACGGATTGTTTGCTCCGGTGGTAGCCGAGGTGGAGACACCGCCGCCGACAGCGGTGGTGGTGATGGATTCTCTGGTGTAAATCAGTGTAAGAAGAAAAGCCAAAGTCAGAAATGAAACAAAAGCCAGAAGCCATAGACGGTTGGACCCTCCTTGTTTTTGGATGTATGGATGCAGAAGAATCAGCTTAGTGCTATTGCTAAGATTGTTCTTCATGATTTGAAAGAGAGCGAGAGAAAAGTAGAGAGAGAAAAAAAAAAGTGATTATTTTTCACAGCTTTTTCTGAGAAATTCAAGAAAATGGCGTGATTTTTAAAGGTGCTTATGCCCTAATACCCGGCTAACTTGAAGACGACATACATTCCCACCAATATTTAAAACAAAGAGTGTGTTTGGTACACATTATTTTG